AGAAAGTGTAAGGGCAAAATGGGAATTCATGTGTATAATATTAGATATAAGGTTTCATTGAAGAAACCCTAGCCTTATAGGCAGCCCTTTTTCACGCCACCTTTACCCCATTCTCTCAATTTTCTTCACTAAATTTCAAAGGGAAATCATAGGATTTGGCTTGGATTTTTATAGATTTTCAATCCTAAAGCATCCAAAGGTAAGATTCTAGCATAAGGAGTGTGATTGACCTTTAAAGTTTTAAATTCTTATGATTTTTTATATGATCTAGATCTAAGAGGAAGAGACTTTAAGCAAAAGGAGGTGGTATCACACATTCAAGGTAAGTAAACCTAATTTTAGCCTTGATTTGAGCAATACATGTGTTGAATGAATTTTTGCCTGTTGTATATGATGGTATGAGAGAATTGTTGGTTGTTTTTGATGTTTAATGATGCATAATTTCGAGCCATGAGAAGTAGTGTATGAGTATATGTTGAATTGGTGGAATTATGGAAGAATTAGTGATGAAATTTTGAAGTGTAGAGAATTGTTGAACTTGGCTAGGTTTGATACTAAAGTTAGTGAGTTTTTGGCTCACAATTTGGTGGAATTAGAGACATGTGGAAGTGTAGCCAACATGGTAGTTACATGTGCATATGAAGTGTTTGATGAAAATCCAAAGAGAAAATGCATGCATGAGTTGGCTAAACCCTATTGAAGAAAGGGTTAGAGAAAGACAAGAATTGAAGTAGAAAGATTATGTTGGGCTTAACCAAGTGTAAATGTTAGTATTCAAGAGTGCATATTGTTATGCCAAAATTTAATATATCACTTGGTCATGTTGTTCCATGAGAGAAATGACCCTTAGTGCTTGGTTCTAGTTACTTGAACCTTTACTACTTGAAATGCACATGGAAGTGTTAGAGAAGAATTGCAAGTTAAAGTGTTATTTTGATATGGCAATTATGATAGTAGAGAATGGTAGAATATGTCATGACATACCATTATGTCATAATGAATTTGCAAGTTTGTATATGTGAACTTGGAAAGCATATTAAAGAATGGGCTTGATCATGCATATATCGTGCGCATGATTATATATATATAGCCTTGATTTAGTAAATGAGAATATGAAAGAATATGTTAGCAAAGAATGAGAAAGAAAGAAAAGAAAATGGCTAGTAATTTTCTTTTAAGCTAACATGCAAGTATGTATATTTTCTCATTTACTAAAGAATGCAAGTGTAGAATTTCCATAGCTTGGAAATTCATGTTGAAATGTGTATAGTATCTCTTTCTATTCTTTTTCTACAACATGCTATGTTATAAGGTTTTTGCGATGGGGAACCCGTGAGTGATAGAGTTGCCCACATACACACCGCCATGAGCGAGCGGCCACAACAGAGAGATACAGTATTTGTACCGTCCATCAGTAGTGTATGTGGATGAGGACTATACCCAGCAAAGCATACCTACATGCATGCTACCACGAGCGAGCGGCCACAACAGAGAGAAACAGTATTTGTACAGTCCATCAGCAATGCATGTTGATGAGGACTGTACCCACTCACATGGCTAGGGTTCCAAATCCATGCATCAACCTAGTCCGATCGGCAGACCAGAATAGAAGAAAGAAAAGAAATAGAGAATAGAGAAGAAAAGAAAGAGATACAACATAAGAGATAGAAAACAAAAAAGAAAAGAAAAGAAAGTTCTTTTCTCAGGAAAGTGTATTATTCTGCATACTTATTATGCTACTTACATGATTAAGTATTTCTTATGTGCTCGACGATGTACTGTTTTATTCACTGTCTTTGCACGTTGATAAGTAGCAAATCAGAATATCAGAAAATAATTTAGAATATCATAAAAGAATGCAGAATATCAGAAAGGAATGAAGAATATTAGCAAAGATTAAAGTAAGAAAAGGAAAATCAAAACATGAGTAACGGAGGAAGAACAGTCGTGCAGTATGGTTTACTTACTGAGCAATTAGTGCTCACTCCGTTATTTTACTGTTTTGCAGGTACTAAGTGATTTACGGTCGGGTGGGACGTTAAGAAGCGGAGGAGTTTGAGGCACTGTCCAAGACTACCTTGCACTATCAGTTATTTTGCGTCTATATTTATATTAATTAAAATTAGAATTTTTGGATTTTACATTATGTATATATGTTTATAAAAGTTATTTAGTGGATTTTGTTATATTTTTCTTAAAGAATTACTAACTATACAATATATTACACGGGCCCAGGCCTAGGCCTGCTTGGGACCGGTCCTTGACCACCTATAGCCGCAAATGACAGTGTTGAGTTCAATTTCCATTCTGGGGTTTCAATTGGATTTTGGGAGAGAAATTTTTTTTTTTTTTTTTTCCTAAGAAGAGGAGTTGCGCATGATGGTGGTGGGAGACTGATTGTAGGGCAATTTTGAGAGAGATTTCTAATTTAGAGAAAGAAGAGAGTGACGTTTTGATTTTGTTTTGGGTGAGAGATTAGATATTTAGATTTAGGGGGAATTGAAATTTTGGGTATTTTCAAAATATTTTTTTTTTAATAATTTAAGGGAAAGTGATGTGGCATTTTGTTGATGTGGCAGGTGATCTGGCCTTGTCACATCATCTACCACGTCATGATGTGAGAATAATGTGTAAGTCTAGTATTACTCATAAAAAAATGTTGGAAATAAGAAAACTACTTAAATCACCTTTTTTCTTCTAACAAGGTAAAACATTATATTTTTTTAATTGGTTTAATAGGCTCTGTTTTAAAACCTAGACCAGACTGGAGCGGTAGCCTATCAAATTTTAGAGGGCTTTTTGGTATTTTTAAAACTTATAGGGACTATTTGTAATTTTTGGGGGTATTTTTGAAATATTTCAAAATTTTAGGGATTAATTTGTATTTTTGGGAAATTTTAAAATAACTAAAAATTTTAGGGCTTAATTAATAATATTTAGGGATATTTTTGTGATGTACTAAAATTTAAAAGACTACTTTGTAATTTTTTAAAATATTTCTATTATTGACGTCACTAGCCCAATCGGTTGGATCAATCGAAACGTGACTCAATCACCTTATGGGATCTCATAACGGATTGGGTTTTAAAATAATAAATATAATAGTAGGTAAGACGTTTCATTTATTTTTGTTTCATTTTTACCCTTTCATAACTTTCAGAGTAAACAACATATTCCCACCCAAGGTTTGACGAAATCCTAAGTTGGTACCTCAAGTTCCATTTATTCCTGATTTCCACCCTTAAAATAACACTATTAACAATTTTTAGGGTAGTGAGGGAGCAATTACCATAATGCCCTTAACCCTAAATTAATAAATTATGTTTTAACCCCTAAATTACTAAATTATAAAATTAACCATCTTATTTTCAAACTACTTCAATTACACCATCAATAACTGTGCACCGTCTCGATTTTCACCAGATCTGGGTTGTTTTCGATGGCGTTGAACCCCCTAATCACCTCCATTACCTTCCCCATTGTCCGTCGTCCAAAACCCCTCTAGTTCCCGACTCATTGGCCCCTCCAATTGTCGGCGCCGTCAAACTTAGGTTTTCGTTGTTCTTCGATCGATTCTGGCGACGAAAATCCAATTGGACATCACCACTGCAACCAGCGTCTCTAAATCTACAAAACCCTTATGTCCCCAGCAACCATTTAGTGGTCATTCGTCGATGGAGACTAACGAAAACCAGTCACATGTGGCGGCTGTCGTGGCTAGCAATCGGCGAGTGATGAGGGGTTATGAAGGGTAAGGTTTTGTAGAGGGGAGGATGAGAGTTCGAATGGTGGTGACAAGGGTGATTTTGGGTAGAAGAATCGCCAGAAAAAGGCAAAAAACGTCGACGGTGATGTTGGCTAATGTGCGCTAGAGCTTTCTTAAGGGCGGCGATTTGCTAATATGCGCCTCCTCTGCAAAATGACCAATTTACCCCTGAACTGTTATATCTAACCATTTTCTGTTACTAGGGTGAGAATCTGGACTAAATGGAACTTGGGGTACCAACTTAGGATTTCGTCAAACCTTGGGTGGGAATATGTCGTTTACTCTAACTTTCATACTTCTACTCTAGCACTAGAGTGATTTTAACATTAAGTCATTTGGAAATTTTTTTTAATTATTCTCTAAATTAGTATTAGAAATTAAATATTAAAATTTCATTAAACAAACAAATAAACTAACAAAATTAAGAAAGAAATATATTGTTTTTAAAAATAACAATAAATGTATATAAGAGTTATTTTAATTTTCTTAAAATAAAGAAATGAAAAAAAAAAAAATGATTTTACTCTAGTGCTAGAGTCAATTAGACTCTAGTGCTAGCGACTTGAGCACTAGAATGCTTTCCTAATTGCTAGAGTGCAGAGGGTAAAAATGGAAAGAAATTAGATAGAGTCGATTAAAAAAAGGCCAAATTTCAATTTCATTCTTAAAAAATGGTTTCTTAAGTAATTATTTCATCTTTTAAACTAAATAATGAAATATGATATAACTATATAACCCATTTTTCCACTAAAATTTCATCATTGAAACCATATTCAAATGTTAGTAAAGCATAAATTTTATAAATTTGTAATTAAAAATGAAATAAATAATCAAAAGTATCATATTTTATTTATTATACTTTTATAAATACTTTATTACAAAATTAACTAAATATATTTAGTCAAAAAGTCTAAAATGGTCAACTGAGTCAAATGTTTTTAAAAGGTTGTCATATAAGAAAGGAGCTTGATCACTCTTTTGGGTTGTAAGCCTAGTATTACCCATTTATGAGTTGCTACGTTAAGGTTGTAAGAGAAAGTTTGTGAGATTAAGTTATAAATGTAGTACTACCTTTTACTTATTCTAATCTCTTTCTAGAACATTAATGTATTCTATTATTTAATTAAGCTAGTCTAATTCTTCGTAGTGGTCAAAGGGAATAAAATTTAGGGCATTCAAAAATTAGCTCAATTAAGTGGTTTTACCTTTCATCGCACAATTCACAAATATTGTCCCATGAAGAGGACTGTATCTGTATCCACTAAAATTCCAAGGTTTATTTCAATTTTAATAATTATTACTATTGAATATTTATTTTTCACAACAATAATTTACAAATATTGTCCTACAATGTAACTTGGATTGGATCCAATAGCTTCCTTAAAAAAGCATAAAAAAAGACTTGAAACAGAATTGCGTAAAACCCCAATTCAATATTTGATCTTTGGTATCTTCGTCGCTGGCGGTTTCAACATTCACAAAAGATTACGCTCCTCTGCGGAAAGATTCCCTTCAACGAAACACAGTGTCAGTTCAGGTTTATTCTTTTTAAATTCTTACAAAGGTAAGGTTTTTATTTATTTATTTTTTTTAATTGTATCATTTTTCCTTTTAACTTTGTTTCTATTTTTATTGTTTTCGTTCTCTATTTTATTTTTGTTGAACTGGGAATTTTTTAGTTTCATTTAAATATTCTTTTTGGTTAAATGGCAGTAAAGAAAGTAAAATTGATATCCTAAATTTACATATAGGAATCAGAGGTGAAAGAAATTCTGCTGGTAACTATAGTTTAATAAATTGTGTTTTGCATTGCAAAATTGAATTCTGAGATGTATTCCTTGCCTTTAATGTTAACAGATTAATGTAAAAAGCTGATTCTACCAGTCTTAGGATTTGATGGGTGCTGTATTTAGCAGAAATAGTTCCAGGACAGGGGCAATTGAGGTTTCGCCAAATGAAAGTTGCAAGAGGCAGAGACTATCCTCAAGCTTTTGTGAGGAAACCAAAAGATTGATTCCGAGTCTTCCTGATGAGATATCACTTCAGATTCTAGCTAGACTTCCTAGAATTTACTACTTGTATGTAAAATTAGTGTCGCGGACTTGGAAAGCTGCTGTTATGAGTTGTGAACTGTTTACTTTGCGAAAGGAATTAGGAACAACTGAAGAATGGTTGTATTTGTTAACAAAAGTTGATGATGACAAGCTTTCGTGGTTAGCTTTGGACCCCTTGTCGAGAAGATGGCAAAGGTTGCCACCACTGCCCAGTGTTGCTTTTCAAGATGAATCGAGGAAGGTTTTATCAGCACTTCAGACGTGGAATGTGGTGGGCTCAAGTATCAAAATTGCAGATGTAATAAGGGGCTGGTTTGGGAGAAAGGATGCACTGGAAAGAATGCCTTTTTGTGGGTGTGCTGTTGGGGCCGTTGATGGTTGCCTCTATATGTTAGGGGGATTCTCGAGAGCTATAGCCTTGAGACGTGTCTGGCGATATGATCCTCCTACGAATTCCTGGAGTGAAGTCAGTCCAATGTCAGTTGGTAGAGCCTATTGTAAGACAGGTGTTATAAACAACAAACTTTATGTTGTTGGAGGGGTTACACTGGGCCATGCTGGACTGAACCCACTCCAGTCTGCTGAAGTTTTTGATCCTCGTACAGGTTTATGGTCCCAGATACCAAGTATGCCATTTGCAAAAGCTCAGGAGCTACCTACAGCCTTTCTGGCTGATTTATTGAAGCCCATTGCTACTGGAATGGCATCATATAAAGGAAAATTATTTGTGCCTGAGAGTTTATATTTCTGGCCCTTTTTTGTTGATATTGGAGGAGAGATTTATGATCCAGAGGAGAATTCATGGGATGAAATGCCAGTTGGGATGGGTGAGGGTTGGCCTATCAGACAGGCTGGAACAAAATTGAGTGTCACAGTTGAGGGTGAGTTGTATGCACTAGATCCTTCTGGCGCACTTGAAAGTGCAAGGATCAAAGTATATGATTTCCAAGATGATACTTGGAAAGTTGTGGTTGGAAATGTTCCTATACTAGATTTTACGAATTCAGAGTCTCCTTATCTACTTGCCGGTTTACAGAGAAAGCTTCATGTGCTCACCAAAGATGTCAATCACAATATCGTAGTCCTGTGGGCTGATGTACAGAAACATTTATCTTCCTTATCATCAGCTTCATCATTTTCATTACATGACTCTTTAAATGAATGTGCTGAATCAGCTGCAGAATCAAAAACAGACCCTTGGAAGGTCATTGCAACAAGGAGTGCTAGAGCTACTGAGCTTGTTAGTTGTCAGACCCTCGAAATTTGATGCTATTGTGCACAGGAAGCTTCACTTCTTCGATGATCCTTTAAATGTTTTATAATTTTTTGATCAATACATAAATAGTTTGGTTGAATATGATAGTTATTTTATTTTGATGGCATTTTGTGATAGAATGTTTTTATCTTAGGTTTGGTGATTGAAATATTATTTACTGTGTATCATAACAGTAGTAATCTTTGTTTTCAGCATCTATTTGTGGCAACTATATAAGACAGCAGAATTTTTTTTTTTTTTTTTCACCTATTTACAGCCGTATAGAGTATGGCCGTACCAACTCTTAGAGCTGGTAAAGTTTCTATTTCTATCTATGTCTCTCTCCTCTATTGTTACATCTGATCTGTTTGTTTGTTTTTTCAGAAATTAGAGCAGGAAGTCGGATCAGGAATAATCGGAAATTTTAGATGATTAATTTTTAGTCTGTCTATGCTGCTTCTCTTAAAGTTTTCCTATATTATTTGTGTGATGGTCATTTGTGACTTTTTTTTTTTTTTTTAGTATTTTTTATTTTTTACTCTGAACTAATACGTTGTTTCGTTGTGTGCAGATTTGAACTCATCCGTGGTATAAACATATCATTCATATCAGTTATGTACCTTTCTGTGGTGTATATGCGTTATGTTGATGCCCATTTTTAGACGCAATAAGAATCCATGGAGGCCAATTAAGATTTTAAGAAGGCACATCTAACCCAAAACAGTTGATACTTGGGCGTTGGGCAAAGCAATTCATCAAAGTCCAAAATAATATACTCTTGGGGCTACACAAATACAAACTCATCATTTCTTAAGACCCAATCAAGACTTTACAGCTCTTTTCATGGGCTACACAAATACAAATGCCTCGGCCCTCAAGCCCTTCAACAAAAACCTAAATAGTTGCTTCTTGGGTTAGCCAATGTGAAATCCCAGATAGTGATGAAATTTTATTTTCATGAATGACAACCCTAGCTAGTAATTGAAATCTAAACTAGTATATTATCAAGCTTATAACAGATTACCTTCTTTAAAGCTTTCACACCTTAGATCTTCCAAGCTTTGACTTCAACACCCTTGTGTGAGCAATTGATCTTCTTTCTTGATTTTTGCACACACCTTAACCTCTCAAGAATAGAACAAAAGAAGGATTTTTCTTTTGTTCTTAATATTTTCTTGCCTAGGGTTTGTGTTATGAAACTTACCATAACCTTGATAAAAAATGTCTTTTATAGGAAAATCTAGGAAACCCTAAGGCTTGTGTGTCACAAGAATATAACTTATAATTTATATTTTAATTTGTGATATATATACAAATATATATATTCTTATGGGGCATATCCATTAACTTTAATTTGTACCACTATAAAATTAAAGTCTCCTTCCTGAGTTCATTGGTTTTATTTTGTTATACAAAACATCCTATGAGGATTAACAAAATATATGTTGAGTTTATATATATTTGAATTGCTGGTTAACTTGTTTGAGTATATTCCAAGAGATTTATCTTTCTGGGTTAGTTGGACTTAGGAATCTTAGAACTCATGTTGGTTGGATTTAGACATGTTTTCGTAGGTTTGTATGATCTTATAATTGTTTAAAAAATACTTATTCATGTTAAGAATATTGATATGTAACTTGTCATTCTGGCTGCCATAGCAAAAAACCTTGCTATTAAATTCTAGAAGCAAACTTGTAGCAAAAATTTTTTGCAGTAGCGAAAATGGTAGTAAGTCACGTTTGACGTAGCAAAAATAATTTTTCATAGCAAATATCCCAATATAAGTTTTTCTTTTTAGAATTGAACTAAAATGGGAAAGATGCTTTGAGACTAAGTAAATGAACTTCCTGAGATATTTTTAAGCTTTGGAACTGACCTAGTCTTTTGGAGACTATATAAAGGCTCTTTAGTTTGAAGAATAAAGTAAGCAATAGCATTATTAAGCTATTCTTCAAAGAAATGATCGTTAGGGTTTATTCTTCATTAAAGATGGCTTTTGTGGCTTATCTTTATTAGTTGTATTTTTGTGCGCAAATTTTGTTATAAACCTAGTATTGGTTCTAACTCTTTATGAGTGGGAATAATCCAAAAGGTAATTAGTTTTTGTTTTTGTGTAAGAACTCAAATAATGGAGAAGAGAAGATTAGTAGTTGTTCCAGGAGACAGGTGAATGAAAACTAGGAGAAACTTCATTGAAGTCAAAAGTATGTAGTTATTTCTCTTCTTTATTTGTTTATGTGTTTATGTCTTAGTTGATATAAGTTAAACATCATTATTTGCTTGGATTTCTTTGTTTTAAGGTTATGGGATCTCTAGTTGCATAATAGGTTGTGATATCTATTGTTGCTTAAGAACTTTATTTTTTGTGAACTAGGTTTTGAGATTTTCCAAGTAAATTTGTTCCTAGATAGTATTCAATAAACCTTATTTGTAGTTGACATTAATTTTGTGAAATATGCATATACATCTATACACATTACTAGATTGTTAGTTATCGTGTTATGGTGTATCTTGTACCTAAATGCGTTATGAGATATGAGAATGGTTATATGTTGTGCTTATATATAGTGAATGTGTGATCAATTTATGTTATGTGTTCTATATTGAACGCTTGGATTGAACAAGTTGCCAGTCTGTGAGTCGGTAAGTAATGTGTTGTGAATAATCTTGTTGAACAAGTGAGCAGTAGTACAAAAGTGTTTGTGTTGTGGTTCTGCATAAGTAGTGAATTTCAAAGGTCGTTCTTGAAGAGCCTTGGTTGGTGAAGACTCAAACTCTAAGGTGTGAAGAGCTGTGAATTGAGTGTGTGGAAGTGGATGAAACAATTGAAGAAGTTAGTTATGTGGAGAACGCCTACAATTGTGAGTGGTGTTGTCAGTTGTGAATGAAGTACAGAGTAAAACTTTAGTTTCTGTGAGTGTTGTCAGATTTATTTCTTCATGATGAAATTGTTTCTTGGCTGGACAAGGTCTTGTGGTTTTTCCGAATCTGTGGGTTTCCATGTAAAAAGTCTCACGTGTCAATCTTTATTCTTTACTTTACTGTCAATGTCTGATTAATGTGTAAGGTAATTGATGACTAAGACAAGAATAAGTGAATGGTAGGTGAACAATTAAAATTAGATAAATTTGAATTTGAAAGATAACTCATTTACCTCCTCTAGGTTATTTTCAACATATTTGACACCTTTCATTACACACTCACAACTGGTATAGAGCACTGTTTAACCAGATTGATTTTTAATAGGATATCTATTCGGTCTTCTTAGATTTTTGTGATTGCTTATAGGCTTGATTGTTTGATAGATGTTTGTTTACTGGTTTTGATTTTATATCTATTTATTCATTGTGATTATGGATTCAAATAGAGACTTTAATGTTGTAATAGACATAGGCTAACACTCTAGTTTAGAGATAGAGATAAAGATTAAACACTATAGAGATGTTTGTCCAAATGCTATATATAAGTTCCGACAAGATTGTGTCTTAACTAAAGATGATTGATCAACTTAGCGAATAGATGTGAATGTGAAGTTTTAGAAAAAGAAAAACAGGACTATAATTGAGATGCCTCGACTTATTTGGCAGTTATGTTGGCAAGTAAGAATTTACTGAAGTATTTTTGGGCTAAAGCTATGAATACTGCTTGTTACATTATCCATAGAGTATATCTTAGACCTGAACTAAACAAACTTCATATGAGGTCTAAAATGATAGGATACCCAACCTTAAATACTGAAGAACTTTTGGGAGTAAATGTTACATTCTTAAGGATGTAGAGTATCTAGGAAAGATGAATCCTAAGAGTGATGAAGCTGAGTTATGTTGGCAGATATGTTGGCAAGTAAGAATTTACTGAAGTATTTTTGGGCTAAAGCTATGAATACTGCTTGTTACATTATCCCTAGAGTAAATCTTAGACCTGAACTAAACAAACTTCATATGAGGTCTAAAATGATAGGATACGCAACCTTAAATACTGAAGAACTTTTGGGAGTAAATACTAAATGTTACATTCTTAAGGATGTAGAGTATCTAGGAAAGATGAATCCTAAGAGTGATGAAGGAATATTTTTACGGCATTCACCAAATAATATTGCTTATTGAGTTTACAATAAGATGACTTTAACTATGTTAGAATTAGGGATGGGCGCGGGCCAGGTCGGGGCTGAGGACCCCATTCCTTGACCTCGTCCCCGATCCCCACTCACATGACCGTCCTCGGCCTGTCCCTGAGGTCGGGGACAACTCTCATGACCATCCCCAACCCGTGAGGATGGAGTCACTTCCATCCCTGTCCTGCACCCGCCCCGATGAACGAGGCTTCGTGGGGAAATTCCCCCTAAAGATTTTATCCTCGAATGGGATTTTGCCTTGTAGGGATCAGAACTTTCCATATGTTCCTAGGACAATAATCTTAAATTATTGTAATTTTTTAATTGTGAAAATTTAATTTAATAAATGCACAAGCAAAATACACAATGTTAAAATTTAGATGTCAAACAAATTGTATAGCTCTAGAATTTGAATACAATCTTAGACACAATGTGCCAAAATCAAGGTATTTAATTTTTCAAATGCTAAGATTGGGAGTGAAAATCAAATATTTGTATAGCTCTAATATATTTTACAAAATTATTAGTGTAACTTCCTAACTCTTTTGGTATATTATATCGAATTTCTTACTATAAATCAATTGTATGCAAGTTTAGGCTTAATTAATTAATTAATTTTTCATATAATCAATATAATTATATCTAATCTTAACATAATTTACTAGGTAAATTGATTAATTATTCAACTGTATGGAGGCTTAGGTTTAGTTAGTTATGTTAATTAATTAATTTTTCATAAAATTAATATAATTATGTTCAATCTTAACATAATTTACGAGGTAAATTGATTAATTATTCAATTATATGTAATGTTTAGGCTTAGTTGTTTAATTAATTTTTCGTGTAATTAATACAACTATATTCAATCTTAACATAATTTACTAGGTAAATTGTTTAATTAATTATAAAGCATTATCTCCATTACAACTAATAAAATTAGTCTATTTGTGAAAGGATCAAATCCTATTATCCCAAGTTTCCATCATTGATTGAGTTTAATATCATAATTAATTGATTAATTGATTAATTAAAAGGATAGTTGTATTTGTATAATTTGTAAGTCGTTAATTTTACGCAATTGTGTATATTCTTATATTGGTTTTGTAAATTGTAATAATCTAATCA